ACTATAACTACCTTACAGTATATTAGCATTCTCTAAATATACACAATTTATATTTAATCAAATAAGCAGAACACACCACACAGTAGTCTATTTCTCACTTCAGTTTCCCATAGTAACCAGAAATATGAAAAGCTGACTACAGAAGATTTGAGGATCATTTCAAGAACAAAGCAGTCAAAAAAAGTTGCATTTTCAGAACTAGACAACTATAAATCAATATAAATGATCTATGTAGGAAGGATATTAGTGTCAACTTTTCTTTTAAGAATTCTACCTATAATTTTCATCATGAGCACGACCAGGAATATAATGAAGATCATAGTACTAAAAAGTAAATATTTTCCTAAAATCCTAACCTAATTAAAAGTAGTGTGGCTCAGATACTTTGACTCCCAATAAATTCTGATCTATAATAAAATAAATTTGCTAGAATAACTATCTTAGGATCACAATTAGTAAAACTTTTTTATGTAAAAACAAAACAAACAAAAACTAATATCCAAAATTTAATTATTAATAAAACAGTTATAAGTACAGATTTCTAAAATAAGGCAATTAATAATCCTTGACTCAAAGAGAATATCTTTAGGATACTGAAAATTAAATCAGTTTTTTCAGAAGCATGTAACTTACAGTATATTCAAGAGTCCCTTTAGGCTTCTGAAAAGACATTCTTCTCCCATCTTTCTTGTCTAGGGTCTTCTTTTGGCCAGTGTCTAGAAAAAATTGAGGCATAAATCCTGTTAAATTCATTTTCTTTTCAGAGTAATTTCCAAGTACTAATGAATAAAGCTCACTAGACAGATAATAATGCAATAGTTATGCAGCTTATGCTCTGTGATTCTCTGCTCTAAAACACAACGAACTCTCAAAAATGAGAGACAGAGAGACAGAGAAATGTACTCCCTCCTTATTTGCTTTAGGAACTGACCAGTAAGTATGAACTACTAAAGCAATTGGAAGTAAATTCAAAACAATTACGATGATTTCTTTCAACATATCTTGCTCAACTGTAACAAATTATATTTGATAGATATGTACATATGTACATATAATTATGTAAATTATATTTAATATCAGCCAAACCAAGTCTGAAAAATATAACATCATTCTCATGGAAGAAAATTTCTCTACATTAAAGATTCAATTTTCTCTATGAAACTATTTTACATTTATTATGCTTTTCAGTTACACAGCATGAAGCAAACTAAGATATCATTTATAAACATCGTATGTTTCAATACAGATAAACTTCCATTTATTTTTCTCTTGTTTATGAAGATATTTAAGTTGAAGATATTTAAGTTGAAGATTTCATTATCATTTATACCTCAATACTATGGTACCGGTTTTTTTATATTCTAAATGAATTTTACCTTGTATTATTGTTAACTCTCTTATCTATATCTCATATAACATAAACTGCACACTCATCTCCTAAAGGACTATTCAGGAAGCCCTGAAAACAACGTATTGAGACAATACTACTTCTATCTAAAAAATGTTTAATGATTTAAATGAGCCTTTAAAAAGGTAATATAAATATCTCAAAAGTGAATAAGAGTAGCAAAATGTTACATTCACTCCCAGAATTTTATTAAGATTAAACCTCTTAAAACAGCAAAAGATGATGATGGAACCAAAAGAAACCCAGAGGGTACAGAAACTAATACTGTTGAATGATTATGCATGGAGGGGATTATAATCATGGCGATGAGTGTAATGGACTATGTACTCTCATGTAAACTATCACTCAATTCACAATAAAAACTTAAAAAAAAAAAAAAAAAAGATGATGGAAGAAATACAAAAACTCACTGTACTAAAAAGAAATGACTGATGCTCAGTCATTCCAAGATGTAGCATATGATCAAGAACTGATGGTACTAAAAGGAGAACTCAAAGCTGCACTGAAGATACTGGCAAAAGGCAAGACTTCAGGAATTGACAGACTACCAAATGAAACCTTTCGACAAACTGATGCAGAACTCGGGCACTCATTATCTATGCCAAGAAATTTGAACACCTACCTGACCAACAGAATGGAAGAGCTCACATATGTGCCCATTTTACAGAAAGGTGACCAAATAGAAGGGAGAAATCAATGACCAATGTCATGAATATCACATGCAAATAAAATTTTCCTGAACTTAATTCTTATGATTACAACAGTATATCCACAGGGAACTGCCAGAAATTCAAGGTTAGGTCAAAGGAGGGCATGGAACAAGGAAGATCACTGCTGACATCAGATGAACCTTGGCTGAATTCAGAATACCAGAAAGATGTTTACTTGGTGCTTTACTGACTATGCAAAGGCTTTTGACTGTGTAGATCATGTATATCAATGCAAAGAATGGCTTATCAGCCATTTAATGGCTTATGAGCACACTTAAATGTGCTCATCACGACCCTGTAACTAGACCAAAAGGTAGTTTATAGGATAAAACAAGGGGATACTGAGAGATTTAAAATCAGGAAAGCTGTGCTCCTGGGTTGTATCCTTTCACCATACTTATTCAAACAATATGTTGAATAATGAATCCAAGAAATTAGATTATATGAAGAATAATGTGGCATCAGGACTGGAGAAAGACTCATTAACTGCCTGTAATATGCAAATGATACCACCTTGCTTGCTGGAACTGAAGAGGACTTAAAATACTGATGGATATAAAAGACCATAGTCTTCGGTATGGATTGCAGCTCACTATAAAGAAAACAAAAATTCTATAAATGGAAAAATAAATAACACCATGATAGATGGAGAAAAGATTGAAGTTGTCAAAGACTTCTGTTTGCTTGGATCCACTGTTAAAACTGTGACGGACTGCAATAGGCAACAGGCACACTAAGGTGTGCCTGACCCAAGTCACAGTATTTTCAACAGTATCATATGCATGAGAAAGTTGGACAATGCATAAGGAAGACTAAAGAATTGATGCATATTATTTACGGTGTTAGGAGCTCTGGTAGCATAGTGGTTACGAATCGGGCTGTGAACCTTAAGGTCAGCGGTTCGAAACTACCAGCGGCTCCGCGGGAGAAAGATGAGGCTTTCTACTCCCATAAGGATTTACACCCTCGGAAACCCTGTACAGGGTCGCTATGGGTCGGAACCGACTCAACGGCACTTAACAACAACAACAACAAGTTACGGTGTTGGAGAAGAATATTAAAAGCACCACAGACTTCCAGAAAAACAAACAAATCTGTGTCGGAAGAAGTACAGCAAAAATGCACTTTAGAAGCCTGGATGGCAAAACTTTGTCTCTCATACAACATTTATCAGGAAGAAAACAGTCTCTGGAGAAAGACATCATGCTTGCTAAAGGTCAACAAAAACGAGGAAGACCCCCCCAAGAGATGGACTGACACAGCACCAGCAGCAATGGGCTCAATTGTAACAACAGTTATGAGGATGGGCACTGTTTCATTCTGTTGTGCATAAGGGTCACTATTAGTCAGAAATGACTCTAAGCCACCTAACAACAAAACCTAACCCAAATAATCTAGAAAACAGTTTACTGCTCACCAACTTTCTAACCTTAATAGACCGACATTTTGACCGGTTTGCTGTTGTTATGTGTTGTCATGTTGATTCTTATTTGTAGCAACCTTAAGTGACAAAGCAGAACTGTTCAGTAGGAATTTCAACCCCATGTAACAGAGTGTGCCACAAGGTATTTTTTGCTGTACTCATGACAGGAACAGTGCCAGGTCTTTCTCTTAAAGAACCACTAGCAATCAAATGGGCCATCAGAGTTCCTAATAGTTTGCTCAGTTGGTGAATGATTCTAATGAAGATATATCAAGTCTGATTCCAAAAAAAACCCAGTTAGCGCTGCAATGCTTAAAAAAAAAAAAAAAAAAAAGCTGTCCTAAAATCCTCTTAATCATCTAGGCTAAATTAGATGTTATTAATCACATGGCATCTTTATGTTGTTTTCATAGCATTTGACACAGTTTTACGTTTGTATCTATTTTTAATCCTCCCCAATAAACGCTAACCTCCAAAACACAGTGCCTGCTTTGTTCAGCAACACTGTAGTCCCTAAAAAAGGCAAGCACCTTGCTTGAAGGAACAAATGCTTTGAAATTGTACCTTGAACTATAGCTAGAATTGCCACAATTCTTTGTCAGTAATTGTTCATAGGAGAAATGTTCATTTAAACTAGATCAAGAGACCATTTCTCATCTATCATATTGGAAAAGGTTATAATGGTTGACCAAACACTTTAGGTTTTAAGAATACATGTACCTACCTACATTTCTAGAGAAAATGCCAATTAGTGTATTATGAATAGGAATTAGGCAACATTTCATTTTAAAAAATTATATTGTTGTTTTATGGTGCTATCAAGTCGATTCCAAATTATAGAGACCCTACACACAATAGAACAAAACAATGCCTGGTACTGAGCAATCCTCACAATTGTTGTCACCTATTGCTGCCCCCACCGAACGAATCCATCTTATTGTGGGGGGGTGGGGGGAAGTCTTCCTATTTTTTTGGCTGATCCTCTACTTTACCAAGCATGATGTCTTTCTTCAGGGACTGATCCCTCCTGATAACATGTTCTCAGTGAGAGATAAAATCTCACCATCCTAGCTTCTAAGGAGCATTCAGACTACTTTTTTCAACACAGATTTGGTCTTCTGTCAGGCATGGTACTTTCAATATTCTTCTCCAAAATCATAACTCAAATGCATCAATTCTTCCATAATCATCCTTATGATTGTAGATCAACCTGTTCAACTTTCACGTGTATACGAGGCTATTGAAAATAACACAGCTTGGGTCAGGCTCACCTTAGTCCTCAAACTAACATATCTGCTCTTGAATACTTTAAAAAGGTCTTGTGTAGTACATTTGCCTAATGCAATACACGTCACTTGATTTTCTGACTGCTGTTTCCATGAATATTGATTGTGGATCCAAGCAAAATGAAGGCTCTAATAACTACCGTATTTTCTCCATTTATCATGTTATTTATTAGTCCAGTTTTAAGGATTTTTTGATTCTTTACATTGAGGAGCAACTCATATTGAAAACTATGGTCTTGCATCTTCATCAGTAGGTATTTTAAGTCCTCTTCACTTCCATCAGCATATTGCAGCAGGTTGTTAATGAGTCTCCCACTAATCCTAATGCCACATTCTTCTTCATATAAACCAGCTTCCCAGATTATTTGCTCAGCATACAGATTGACTATGTATGGTGGAAGAATACAAACAAACCTGGAGCACAGCTTTTCCGATTTTAAATCATTCAGTATCTTCTTATTCTGTTTGAACAATTGCCTCTTGGTCTATACACAGGTTCTTTATGAGTACAAACAAATGTTCTAGAATAACCATTCTTCTTTGTGTTGTTATCCACAGTTTGTCATGATCCATCCATAGCTTATCTTAGTCCACATGACTTTTTGGTTTAAACCTTTGTTGAGTATGATGGGGCCATAGGTGGAATCCTGATCCCCACCCAGAACCTTCAGCATTGTAACAGTTATAACATTTGCATATGAAATGACATGCAGACCAATCTATAACTGCTGGGAAAACAGGAGATTCATGAAAAAAAAAACAAAAAACAAACAGATAGTTTGGAATTTTGAGTTTTGAAGACATCAATGCAAGAAAACCCCATTCTAGTACTGAAAGTTAAAAGAGGAACCGGCGAGCCATACAGTTGCTGGTGACCACCTGGGTCTAC